ATAATTGCCACATGTTGCTAAAGGTGGAAATAAGTCTGAAAATAAGTCCTTTTCCTCCTGTGTTCTAGAGTTAGTCGGTGTCGTCACCCTCACCTGTGTCTCTGTCTTTAGTCTCACTCAGTCACCTGCTGTTTACAGACCTCTCTCCCTCCGTCTGTCTCTGCTGGATTATTGTTCATCGTGGCTACATTCCTGCGTACTTTGATCCAAGTTCCGAATTTATGCCCAGTTTTCCAGTGAGTGGTTTTGATTTGGACAGTGATAAACTCCCTGCATCTGAGAACGGTCTCCTGAATGCTGCATTTGAGTCCTGACGACTTCTTGACGTCTCTTTTGTACTATTTCTCTTTATTTCTAATAGGGTAAAAACATTATGGTCAGTGTGTGTGTGTGTGTGTTTTGTTTTGTTATGGTCACTGACTTAGACAGGTGTTAGGATCAGGTTCTGGATAGGCTGTGATTTTGTCTCCTTCCGCGGTCTCTGTCAAACTGTGTGATGTAACATGGAGGAAATAAAGCTTTTTCTTAGGAATAGTTTTTGGAGAATTTCAGATCCCGTCATCTCTGTTCATCTTCCTGTGTGGAGATATTCAGTCAGTATGAAACCTGAGCTTAAAATACACTTTTAAGCTTTCCCATAATCCTCTTCTGTCCCCTATTACGTGGACGTCGTTGTTTAAATTTGCAGATTCTAATAGTTCTGATGAGTCCACACTCAGGGTAGAAATGCCTTAGATTCTAATAGTTCCGATGAGTACTGAGTCCACACTCAGGGTAGAAATGCCTTTAGACCTGATGTAAGTATTTAGTTAAAAAAGAAGTGAACGTGTTCTTCTGAAAACGTGTCAGTGAATTCATGCAGTGTTATATCAAAGTGTTATATCACAGGAAATGGTGTCTTTTTTTCACACCTCAAATTTAACGGCAGAAATAAAGAATCACTGCTGGTGGGAAAAAAACAACAAAAAGTCTTTATTTTGTTTCCCGTGATAATAAGAAAATGATTTATTTTTCGGCGATCAGTTTAGACCAGGCCTTAGCAGAGAATTTAAATCACATCCTTACATGAATATTTTTCTCAGGCTGAGAACAAATATGAGCTGCAGCTAATTCATCTCTGAACACATACATTTTCAGCCTGCTTGAGTTTTATGATGACTTCAAACACCTCAGCCTTCACACTCCAGCGACTTAAATCTTTTCCGTGGCACTGCAGAAAAAAAGAAAAGGTAAGAATTAGTCTGAGCAGAGAGCAGTTAACCACAGTCAGTGGAGTGTGGATGGAAAATGTGTCAACAGTCTCACAGAGCTGGCTCTGAAGAAGGAGACACTGAATGTAAATGTGAGGAGAAGAAGCATCGACATCATTGACGACAAGCTGCTGCTGCTGCTGCTGCTGAATCAAATTCATGCACAGGATCAGGATCAACAATCATTCTGCCATTTATAAAAAACCTATCTCCAATACAACCTCGTAAACACTGAACCTCCCCCTCCCCCCCTCCCCTGGCTCCCACAGCGTCTGTCCCTGATACAAAACAATATCGACCAGAAACTATCGACCGGATCTCAGCAGATCTGAGCTGCTGGCGTGCTGCTGCCAAAGACGTTCAGACCCAGGAGAGATGAGACAGTTTGTCTTCACAGGCCCAGCCTTCAACACAAAACCACAGAGAAAGATTCACTGGTGGAGAATGAATGTAAGTGTTTACAGACAAACGTGCTGATGAACAATACTACTGATATTCAACCAATCAAACGCTATATATATATATATATATATATATATAGTCTTCTGAACAGCTTCATGTATATGAATGCAGATGTACAGTCTGTATCCTTCAGTCCATTGTCAGTGTTCCCACCTATTCCCTGAAGACATCTTCAGGGTGTGATGTTCACCAGACCTGACCAGTACAGTGAGACCATCTGATCTGGAGCCTGCAGTCACAGCTGTCGTCACCACTGAAGCAGAAAAAGTTCATTAAAAATCTGCAGTCAGAAGCAGCAGAGGAACAGAGTCAACGGCTGAAGCTCTTCTTCACATTTCACTGTCCTGACAAAAAGCCCAGAATGTTCTGTGGGAGAGCCACGTTTGGAAGAACCCACTGAGGACCCACGCTGTGTACTGTTGTGTCTTCATATCTGCAGCATCAGTGTCCTGTCTCCTGAGATGACAATCCTGACTGCAGCGTTTCAAGGTGTTAATGTAACAACACAAGTCTTCTTTGAAGACTTAAGATCTGTCCCTGGAGGATCAGCAGCAGCAGCAGCAGCAGCAGCAGCAGCAGCAGTGGCGGCGCCGCTCCGGCGGCATCTGTCTGGCTG